GGGGGGGGGGGGGGGGGGAGGGAGGAAAACTTCACTGTCTCTGACACTTGCTTCTCAAATCTACCATAATTTTACTCTGACATACCGCCACTCAAGTGATGACTTCTTCACACTAAATGGTTCCAATGGTGTCATTACATATCTGGCTGTTCTCAGCGGTCCAGCAGGGGTGGTGAATAATTTAGACTTTATATCTTGTGTGTAGGTTCTACTAGTGAGAGCTTTTACTGCTACAGCTATCTTGTCACGTAATCCTTGGCCTACTTTCTTTACAAGTGACACCATTCTGGATCTCTTGCTTGGTTGGGTGACTTGTGTTGACTCTTCTTCTTCCCCTTTCCTCTTCCTCTTATTCAAAAAATTCATCTTGTTCTGTAAAACTTTATTTTGGGGGCAAACGTATATCCAGGGACACAATTTGAGAAACAAAACCCTTCAAGCAGTGTTCCCGGTCAGCATGAAATGTCAGGTGTCTTCCTGCATTACAATTTGGGAGTCTGAGAAGAATAGATATCAAGATTATGCATCAGTCATTTGAATTCCAGAGTCTATCTCTTTGGGCACAACCAGGGTTAATGCTGCACGTTCACTTTACTCCATTTTTGTCCCAGCAGGTGGGGAATTACCAAGAAATCACAGTTTTTATTTCCCTCCCGGACCAAGGAGTAAGTGGTACAGTAATTCTAGAGCAGTATGATAAACATGTGTACTTTCGCAATCACCAAAAGAGAATTTAAAACAAAGATTTCTATGTCTTTCCATAGACACATGAGATGTTACCACCGGATCAAAAGTATGCTACTTAAATATTATTTAATCACTGTTCAAGGCATCACGATGTCACACGCCACATGTGATCTCATACATTTCATGTATTTCCTATTAAGGCCCACCCTCGGTTTGATTCAAGTGATTGGGAGAAATGTTTCATAAAACACAGAAGCTTGCATCTTTTGATCCCAATTAATGTTAATGTAAGGTAAAAAAGATGAATAAAGACAAATGGCAAGGGACGCATGGAAGTGAAGGAAATGGGCAAATTTCAGGCTTTTAGCTGAGGTCAGCCACAAAAATTGCAAGCATTGTTGTTTTAATCATGTATCAAGCGCCTCAAAAAATTATGCCACCAAAATGCAGAAGACAACACTAAAAACATATTGTACGAAATCTTCATTCATATTACTCACATTAACAACACCTCTGTGATTTATGAAGAATTTCTTCCAATCACTTAAATCAAGGTGAGAGCAGGCGTTAAGAAATACAGTAGATGTATGAGATAACAATGTTGTGCACAACATCACAATGACATTCAGATGGTTTCCCTGTGGTTTAATTTGAGTTTTGGTCTTTTTAATAATATTTTGCATCTTGTAGCTAAGGTTGAAAAAACAGAGAATGTTTTTGAAGTTTCCAGATAGCTTTCATTTTCCCTGCTTTTATATTAGCCATTTGTAAGTGCTATGATAGGTGCTCCCAAATCAATGTTTTTTTTTTTTTGTTCACATCTACAGGAGCGTAGGGTCCATAGACATACATACTCCCATGTATACCGCTAAAATCTAGAAAAAAAATATGTTTTTATTTCCTAAAGCAGTTTTGTCATTAAGTCAGTAGGATTGATAAATCTTTTGCATTATATTCATATCTTTGCCTGTCTGAAGGGTACACAAATTCTCCTCATTTGTTTGTAACCAACTGTTTTACACTTTTTTCCGTATTGTACCTTAACGAAAACACCAGAGATGTAAAATGAACAACGAACTATTGTATTTTCCTTCGTAATTATTTACTAAACATTTCTTGGTGAAAACGCAGGAAATGGCAATTCTGAACCCCTTCCA